CGTCAGCAGCTAAGCCGGCGTCTAGCGACAAAACGGACGACACGCGAACGAAGCAGCCATGGAGTCTGGGTCGAGACAATAACGATGACTTAATTGTGGAACAAAAGAGTGTCACTGTTGGCCAAGTCAACTCGGAGGAAGGCATTGTTAACGCATTGTCGAGCCGTTTTGACGAAGACCGCATCTACACGTACGTCAACCATCACACGAGAATCGTGATGAACCCGTACCGGTTGCTACAGACAGCTCGATTCACGTCAATTTACAACGAGCAGGTTGTACTCACTTACGCTGACACGGCAAATGCTGAGACAGTACTGGCTCCGCATCCATTTGCTATCGCGAAACAAAGTCGAGTTCGACTTTTCTTCAATAATAGGCGCACAGGTGGTAATTCGTCGCTAGCTTCGTCGACACTGAGCAACCGTACTATAGCTGAGGGTCGCGGGCAATCCCTTTGTCTTTGCGGTGGGAGTGGAGAGACAGAACTTGCCAAGGACTTGCTGAAATACCTGGTATTTGTGGCGCAACCAGCTCTTTCTGAGGGTTCGGAGGGTCGCCAGCCCAAGATCAAGCTGTTTACTAGCTCCACTAAAAGTACCATTCAGATGAGAACAGAGGAAACACGAACGATCGCTCTCCTCGAAGCTAAAGGTGTGGAGAAATACGAAATCGTGCTGCTGGATTGGCATCCTGAACGCTGGGAAGAAATGGCATCAGTGAGTCGAAGTAAGCGTCTCCCCGAGGTGCACGTGGACAGCCTTTTCTTTGATTTTTACGACAAGTTGGAGCATCTTGAGGATGAAGAACAATTGTTAATATATCGTACGAATCCACATGCGGCGAAGAAACTGAGCAGAGTTTTGGAATCCAATATTATTCTGGAAGCGTTTGGAAATGCTACCACGTCGATGAACCTGAATTCGTCAAGGTTTGGAAAAGTGACAGCTCTGCAAGTTGCCTTTGGGGGGAGTTTCAGATTTGTGGCTGTCACATATCGCCGTTTTTACTAGAAAAATCCAGCGTCATGAGTGAAAGAGGTCGTGAAGCTGGAGACCAGAATGAATTGAACTTTCACGTACTGTACGCGATGGTGGCCGGTGTCAACGCCTTTTCCTTTTAGGCGGTTGCTAGCGAAGGAGTTGCATCTCGATGGTGTAAAGTGCTCCGCGTTTACTGATCTCGGTCGCAGCGACCACAAGCTGGCAGAGCTTATGAGCGAAGAGGAAACGTGGAAAAAGGGTGTGGAAAGATGGCAGCAGATTATTGGTGGGCTAGATGAGCTGAACGTATCCCCAGACGAGCAGAAGGCAATTTTTAAAGTGCTAAGTGCTGTTCTGTGGCTTGAAAAATATTGAGCTTGACTATCATGAGACATCGAGGAAGCTTTTGATGTCTTCTGCATGTACGGGGGTGCCTAAAGCACCTCAAAGAGTGGCGGAACTTGTAGAGTTGGAATCAGTGGAGAAATTGAAACGAATGATGACGACAAGAAGTGTAAGTTTGCAATCGACGAGTGAAGTATTCGAGGTGACTCTGGAGCAGGGTCAGGTAAAGCATGTTCGAGACACACTCGCACGTTTTTTATACCAGCTCGCGTTCGAGTACATCGTTACCGCAACCGAACAAAGCAACAAAAATGAGAGGTTCATGCACTGATAGGAATGAGCTTCGTGTGGACTCCAACCCGATTATCCCACCAGGCATTTCACTGCTGAAGATTGTCGACGTATTTGGCTTTGAAGACCTCTCGCATAACTCACTGGGTAGGGAAGAACAAGTGGTCACAGCTGCCTACAATACCCGACTGTATTCGTCTATCCGTGACAAGGACAAGGACGCTCTTTTTATTAATGAGCATCCTCTTGGAATTTTCGCTTCGCTTGAGGAGCTGACTATTCTTCACCAAAACGAAAACGTGAACGCGCAGCAAGAGGAAAAACTTAACAGATTGTTTGTACGCAACATCTACGACCGCAATCCGTCTCGATAACCTGAACCGCCTCGCGTCTTAAACAAGGGAAATCTTCGATTTACTGCATTGCCTAACAAATTACATCCGCACACACGTGGAAACGTTAATTTCGTGAAGAAAAACTCGGACTTTGTCTACTCAAGCTTGTTGGTGGGGTTCGAGACGTCGACTAATCCTCATTTCTGTCGAATGCTTGCGGAAAGCAATCAAGTGGGTAGACCTTTAAACACAAACAGTAGCACGTTTAGTTCAGCAGAGTCTCGACTACCTGGAGGTTGGGCAGTTTCGCTCTCACGTTAATGCCATCACGCCATGATGACAAGAGCATGCCGTTCTACTTTCATTGTATTTGTCCCAACTTCAAGAAACAACCTTCCGTCGTGCTCAAGGATCTCGTTGAACCACAGTGTCGTGCACAGCGTCTAATTCGGCAAGTGGAAATTTGTAGGAACGTAGCTTTGCTTTGAGTAAGAAATCTAAGCCCCCCGCAGCGCAACGTAGGTGATCAACCCTCTCTACACCAACCAACCATGCCCTAGCGCCCGCGGAGCGGGCGCCCAGAGCGCTAGTCCCCATATGTAAACTGGGAAACACATGCATTTATTGATGTCAACTACACATTCTAGTTTTAACCAATTGAAGCCACCTTCGCTGCGCTCGGCAGCCAGTAGAAATATTAAAATTATTTTATCCAATGATTTGTCCGGAAAAGCGTGACAGGCACGACAATTTAGTGTGACGGACAGACAGGTTGCTGCAGTAGATGTTTAAGACTAGCCGTTCGCCGCCGCTACGCGGCGGAGTGGCATGGTTTGTTGGAGATGAGGTGGCCGCAAATTTAAGTGCTTCTTGGTGTCGCGTGTTTTGAGAGCGTGGTTTCACCCGCCAAAAAATTGTGGGCCCCGTGGAATTTTAACCCCTTCGCCCTTTTCGCTAATCTCATTCGGCCCCGTATAATATCGTGGTTTTGTGGAACGCTTCCGTTACCCCGTACTACAGGTTAGATCTCATGTTCTACAGTGGCCGGCGCTCTTCCGTGATCTTCCTGGCTTCGTGGTTCCCTGCTCACCCGTGGCACACGCTGCTTAGTAGTAAGAGCTCTCTCTTTTGGGTTCATGTTTTTTAGTACTGCGTCGTGGCTGCTAACTATTTCCTGCTCTCAAACGTTTCGTGGGCTGCACCGGCTTCCTGATACTCAGTCTTTCGTGACCGTTCGCCTCCCATAGCTGGTACTCTAGCCGAAGGGTGCTTTTCCGTGGTTTGGAGCCTCCACGCAGTCGTGTTGTTCCAGCACCCGTGTATCGGGCTCGTTTAATGAGGCTCCATCGACCGCGTTATAACGCCATCGTGTAATTGCGATATGGTTTTGCTGTCTATGGTATTGTGCTCGCGGATTGCATCTGCATTGCCCATGTTATCGTGCTCTACAACGGCATCGTCCTCCACAATCGTGGTCACCACGAGCCCCCTTCCATTTCGTGGCTGGTCTGCCGTCCGTGCAATCGAATTCTAATGCGCTATTGTTCTCCGTGGAATGGTAAGCTCAGGTTCTACACTGATATAGTGCTCCGTGGCTCGGTGATTTCGCGTCTACAGCTCCAGTGGCCGCATTTCTATCATGGCTTAGTGTCTCGGCCACCGTCCAAGTCATCGTTTTATTTTGTGGTGTTAGCGCTGGTCTACCGTCCGTTCTATTATTAGCTACCGTAGTATCGTGCTCCCTGGCTCGGTAAGATCAGGTTCTACCCTGGTATCGTGCTCAAATACTCGGTGATTTCCCGTTTATGGTCTCCCGCGGCTTTATGCCTGGTCCGTCGACCGTGCTCCGTGCTCTACCGTGATGCTATGGGGGAATTGCTGTTAGTGCACTCTTACCGCTGCATGCTCTTTCGTAGCCCGTGCTTTTCAGCATGCTGGGGTGTCTATGGATTTAGTTCCCTTCTGTCGCCCGTACGCTCCCGTCATATTCTTGTCGTTCTGTCCTGTTCATGGCTGCGTGCACTTCCATATTTCACGCTACGTAAAACACTTCGTGGTTTGCATCGGCTAAGGCTTCGATCTTTCGTGCTTCGTGTTGCTCTTCTATCCCATCGTCTACATAGGGTGGGTCGATGTTTATTCGGGCTTCGTGCTCTTGCTTAGTCACGTGCCTCCGTAAACACAATAGCTGTTCCCATTTTGTTTGATGTACGCTACATATGTTGTTGGAAAGTTCGCACAATATCTGAAGGTCGCACACTACGCGCGCAAATACAAAGGAAGACAATAGTTTATTACGGAGGTGCAGGGGTGTAAGCCACAATAGTCATATTTTAAAGTTTTCACATTATTAATAATAGTAATACAATTGTTATTTGTTATTAAACGCTGATATAATTATTATGTGTACTACTACTACAAATGACTGCAAGCAAAAATATGAAATGCCTTGATAATAGTACTAAGAAAAATAATATTGTAAGTTAAATTAGTACAGCAGTACTACGAAGCCTAAAACATCCTTTTAAATTTTAATAAGTACTAAAGTTTCGATTGAGGCCGAAATATAAGTCACCCGGGCGTATAATTTTTTTTCCAGCTCCTACGACGATATAGTACGTGTGTGCTCATCGGCGCCTTTTTATTGTGCTAATTAACGCGTACACAGGCAGCGCCCTTTGCGTGAGGTGGCGAACCGCAGCTGAAAATGAGAGCAAAATGAAATTTAAACGGTGCAGTTAAGTACGATGTGTAGTCCACATACAGTAAGTACAGCACATAATATCTGTTTTAGCCAATGGGGGCCGCCTTCGCTGCGCTTGGCAGCTTTTTAGCGAATCGAGGCCGCCTTCGCTGCGCTCGGCAGCCAGTAGAGCGCCCGCATTTGCGTTACATTTTAGAACCCTACCCTCGGACGGACTGACAGACGGACGGACAACACACTCCACTAGAGGGGTAAGATAATCCGGTCGATACATAGCTTTCGACTGTTTCTTGCAGTCCATAATCGTCATTAATTTTGGGTTTTTGTAGTCTCAAACTAAAGCATCGGTAGTCCATTTTGCCTAAAATAAAAGTAGGGTACAGTACTGCACCCCGTTTTAGCGCCCTTGGACCTTTGATAAACTTCCGGATGTGATGATCCTGAGTCCAAATGAACTATTGTTTGTATGCTAAATCAGATTTATTTGCAAATCCTATATGGTCCACCCCCGCGAAAACGGGGTGCAGTACTGTATATATAATCACCCAAAATAAACTCTATTTTGGTGCAATTCGAAGTTGGTATTTCATAAAACCGCCGCATTACGACAGCCATGCTGAGAAGGCGGGTGTTGATCGATGCATCTACACATGGACGCACTGCAGGCGCGGTAAGCTATCTGTTTGAATCGGTGAAGCTGGCGGGGCGGCGACATCAAACTTGCTGCTAAAGTGACATCTCGCCACGAACAGTGCGAGTGGGGTTAAATCACGAGCGGTCGGCGTCATCCTCGACGAGCAATAGTGGCCAGGTGTCTATCAGCTCCGCCACAAGCGCCATCTCTGGTGCTGTAACAGTCAGTTCTGATGTCAGCAGCCCTGGGATATCTGGTCCGGCGAGGGTACAAGCACTAGTGGCGTCCATCATTACGGCTGGATCCATCGTAACGAAAGGCAAGCAGGTGCCCTCGGGTCAACTCTGATCGGGTGTTCCCGCTCGCTACCTGCGCGACCTCACGGCCGAGGAGACGCAATTCATGCAGTAGTGCTCGGCCGAGTACGCGCAACTGGCGGAGCAGCACGCCGGCGAGTGCGCTAAGACCTTTGAGGAGTACGTGGCTGACATGGAGCGCTACAAGATCCTGCGGGACGTGGGCGAGACTGGTCTGCCACAAAAAGGCGATGAGCGCGAAGACACTGGTCTCTACTTCCGTTACTAGACGGCTAGCATAGTTTCGAGTGCAGAATGGCGAAGAGCGAACAAAAATAATGATAATGGACTTAAACGATAGATTGGCTCCGTGGCTTATCATTTATAGGTGGATAAACACTCTCATGCCTACGAGTTGTGAGAGCTCACTCTTCGTCACTCTGTTCTTGCACCGCAACTACATCAAAACATACCGGTAATAAACATCAGTGTACGCAAGCAAGCAAAAACTTGTACCGTTGTCGGGCTTACAGGAGAGCGCAATCAGCTTTAGGAAAAACTCCCGCACTACAGGCTCTTGAAGTGTTGCCGTTATCGCAAAGTCCTTTGGGTTGGCCATGAGCTGCAGCACAACATCGCCACAAACGTGAATTGCACGGCTATTACAAAACCAGCGCTTGCACCAGCCGTACCTGCTGCATGCTGGCCATTAAAATCGGGTCCTGCAACGCCTGCACGTAGTATGAGCCTTAGTTCATGGCGATCATCAGTGACGGCCCAAAGTGAACGCTCGAAAGTAATATCAGCATCTCGGCATCTTCGTCACTGGCTCCAGCAGAGCTGTGAATCTCCAACACCTCTTTTTCATCAGATGCAGGCGGCTGAACTAAGTCTGTGATAGCTTCCAAGGCGCTCGCTCTGTTCTTCTTCACGCTGCTTTGTAAGTTCAAGCACCTCCAGACAACACTTCAAGGTATTGACGGAATCCTCCTCTTCTGCATGAAAAAGTAGCAGCTCTGGATCCTCGTCATCTATCAACGCATCACGGTAAGCTACCCATCTTGCTTCATCCACAAGTCGCATCCACAACGCGCCATTTTCAAGTGAAGCAGCAGCGAGTACTTGCTCATCCAGAGATCGCTGAGCTGATCATTTGTCGTGTGGCTAGGAGAGCTCGCACTATCACCTGTGTCTTTTTTCTTTGACTGTAAGAAGTCAATTAGCTTCTGATAAAACCCTCGCAGCTCGTGGTCACCCAATTGAGATTCGAGGACGTCTGGGCTCAAACTCATGTCTCGTAGCGCCAACACTATCTTCTCGTTTTGCTGCAGCAACTCGCGCATCGTGTCGTCATGCAAAATAGCGTTTACTGCCTGTGCGTCGAGGCCACCATGCGTGCGGAGACAATGCGACTGGAGATTACTTGCTAGCTGATTACCGTTTTCTCTTCCTGGGCCTTCGACTTTTTCTTCAGCGCCAACTTCGAGCGAAGCTCGCCCTCGCGTCCATTATACTTCGTTAGCAGCTTCTTGACAGTGTTTTCCCTTGGGGGCCATACCAAGCCAGTACATCATTTGATTAACCCCGCCGTTCACACTTTTTTTAAACATACCGGCATCCCCACATGATCATAAGAAACAACGATTGTTTTTTTTGTCGCGGCATCAGATTCTCGATCTTTGAGTAGCAACTCAAGTTTTTCCAGAAGGCTAATTGACTTGAACTTTACCATCGATGAAGAAGAAACACTTTTCTCATGGATTCGGGTAGTCTTCGCTATATAGAAGATCGCTGAGCCAATTCAACAAGTTGCTGTCATCACAAGCCACGTTATCCAAAACGTAGATCTCCCTCAACAGACTACTGTCTCTCGCTAGAGCAGTGCTTTTCGAGATTTCAATTGCCGAGTATGATGACGGTGGATACAATGTATGTATACTTATGTTACGTTCCGAAACAACACCGCACACAATACCCTTAGTGTTCTCATGTTATGCCTCACTAACCGCCTCTGGATCGTGTACCGCTTGCTTTTCTTAAAGTCACTTTTGGAAACATCACATATAAATATGTAGGCGTGGCAGCTGGATGTTACAGATATATACCCGAGTGATAGATCTAGATCGAATGCGTATTGTTGATCGTCATAGTAAAGGTAGACCTGACCTGGGTTTAACGTGATCTGCAAAGAGTGCATTATCTTATTTTGGAAGGATTTGTCTATAATCTCATTTGAGCACATAGCTCCCAAAATGATTCCAATCGGGGGTGTGCGAGGTTGCAAATGTAATATATGCTGCTCGGAAGAGGGGTCAGATTTTATGCTGCTAATAAATTGACATATATCGGTGAGGAATCCCAGTTTAGCTGGAGTAAATACGCCTACTCAAACATCTTACCATCTGCACGTCGTCGCCGTGAGGCAGTCGACACCATATCTTTAATTGCGACGGTCTATTAGAGCAAGGTTTGGTCGGCTCCTCGCGCAAAGTATCTTTTAGGACAGGTACTATTTGCTAATGATCGCCCCAAACACCAATATTATGCCTTGAAATTGTCCCGCTGAGCTCTTTATGATATTACCGAAGAGTCTTTCCACTATCTTCCGCTTGTATTAATCTTGCATGTATAGCTGACGTATTTACTGACTGATTTGCACAGCTACTGCTTGACCGAGTGGCGTAGATCCTTTCCGATTGGCATTTACTGGTTCCGATCTGTATGACGAACATACGAAGCCACATGGCTGTAGACAAATTATCAGAACATCGATATCTTAGGCTTGAATCGAAAAGTAGATCATGTACATTAGATAAAGTACTTTCGGTGTCTAGCTAGCAGCCCGGCGTGCTATTGGATATGTCCGTATTTATTCCGCAATGTCGCGAATGGTGTGGTCGTGATAACCAGCACCCATGTATTGGGTCACTGCTGCAATCTCGGTACTTTCGCATCGTCGTGCTCGCTTACAGTACTTACGCTTATTATGCATCCGACTATATGATCAAGCGCGTCGCAGATTAGGCACAGGTCATACCCGCGGTAATGCAGGCAGCCTGATACAGGCCGGCTGACCAGGCTTCTGTTAGCAGTAGGAAAAACAATATAAACGCGCGCGGCAGGTACACATTATAGCCACCCGCGACTCAACCGAGCTCTTATCTCGACCATTATGGACAGGGCGCTAAAGTAAAGTACTGCGTACAGACAGTTCAACTTACCACACCCACCGGTACTGCGTACAGACAGTTCAACTTACCACACCCACCGGTATGGTTTGCATTACCGCACACGTGCTCGTATCTATGTAGACAGCAAGTTAATCGTCGTGTGTAGTGCTCACTCGATACTGTAGTCTCAATTTGTGAGCGCACATGAATGCAACGTACGCTGTGAGCGCTGATGGCACAGATATCATGGTTTGCAGTATCCAAGTGAGCGAGTGTACATTCGATCTATTGTAACGCGCAAGCAGAAATGGACGGTCAGCTTGCAAGGGTTCACAGTAGATACCATGCGCTAATTATTATATGAAACGCACTACCCTCTGTAGGTGCGTCAACACTATTGGCAGCGCCATAGTCAGTTTACCGTATGTGCGTCTCCAATCCTCGTACCGTCAGCCAGTATACAAATTTCAAAAATAGGTAGGAAAATGGGGGCCTAAAAGGGTATATATTCCAATTACTTGCTCTTCTGCTGCTTCTTTTGCTCGATGTAATTGGCGTTTCGAGCGGTCAGCTTGCGAGGGCGGCTGCGCCTCTTTTTCTTCTTGGGGTACCAGTCCGGACCCATCGCCTTCTTGACGTTCGCCAGGCTTTCCTGGCGGCGCACATCGGCCGAATCAGGTGGTGGGGGCTTTTCCTCCCAAAGCTCAACCGCTTTTTGGGCCGTTCTCGCAGACAATACAGCGCCGCACGATGTCCCGCCCGCTGATTGTACGGAATGCGTAGCCGTACTGCAGCTTCCCGCAGCAGACGCAGCGCGCTCGGGGATCCGTCGTAGACCGCTGCGGGTTCAGCAGAAGCGGGTCAATCTTCGCCTCGCATTGCTTGCACGTAGGGCCCACCATTTTGCAAACGTGCGGATGTTAGCAAAATATTTTGTTTTAACCAATTACTTGCGTCCAAATATTAGCCAATAGCTTGGAAATATAAGGCTGGTATTTATTATTTAGAAACATATTAAAAAGTTGATACTAACGTTTTGGCTTTGCTATAATATATTATTATCAGATTTCCAAACAAAAACATACTTTACATGCAATTTAAATTGCCTAAGACAATTATCTATCGTGCGCGCATGCATCTGTCGGGTGTGGTGCACGGGAGCAGATAGCGAAATGCCCGTGCAGCCGCGCGCCTTCATTGCACGGTGGCAGTGTTGAGTGCCAGGTGAAGTAAAAAATATATATATATATTCGCAAAGTCCCTACAAAAAGCGCTGGTCGTGAAGCCTACTTTAGCATTAAAAAATAATATCGTCTCTACCTTAGAAAATGTGTGGAAAATAGCATCGCCGAGCTCTTACAAATGCGGCCTGTGAAGCTTATATTAATATCGTCTTTACTTTGAAAAGTATGTGGAAAATAGCATCCCAGAGCTCTTACAAAATACTGGTCTGTGAAGTCTACATTAATAATAATAAAAATCTCTATTTTAGAAGGGTGCAGAGCTCTTAGAAAATAAAGTGGTTAGTGTGCCCGATTTGCATTACATACGACAGGTTTTGCGTAGCTAAATCTCAATAACCAAGTATCTGCGCAGCTCGCCTGGCTGTTTGCAGCCAATCGATGCGTTTCGTGCTCGGCAGAAATGTTTACCTTACGTCCAATCGCGGGGGAGAGAGGCGGTCTGATCGTGCAACAGATCCAGTCAGTGTCGCAGGTCGGCTGGTATTGCCCAATCAGGGCGCGAGTTAATTGTGTCACGCTTTTGGATATATTTGTAATTTTGGCATAGTTAGGTCGAGTCAGAAAGTGTGACGGGGTCACACAGCACCTTGCGCTAGAGGAAGTTATCTTCCGAGAGTATACAAACTCTCAGTGAACGGCAGTTCACAGGTCCCCTCTTTAATTAAAGAGAGCGAAGTGACCTAAATAAGGTAGATTGTAAACTGAGTATATTTATAGGTAGGTTAAGTTTGTGGTTAATACAAACTATCAGTTACCTATAGAAATGCAATGTCATTTAACCAATGGTTGGTTTTGAATGACCTTGGTACCTTGTACCAAATATCCCGGAGTATGACATGTCATACTCCTGAAGTGTGAAGTGTCACACTTCATGTAACCAGGGTACACTTAGTGCTACGTACCCCGTTACATCCTCCCCCACTTAGGTTCGGTTTACCGTTCAATCAGAATGAAGAGATGTTCGTCACAAACTCTCATTCTCAAAGTCGAAAACCATCGACTCGGCCGCGCGAGCGCGGCGGAGGCTCACTTTACAGTTAGAGCCTCGAGCAGCAACCTGTGCGCTCTTCGTCAAGGTCTCCACTTCGACCGTTAACATGCCTCGTGGCACTGCTAAGAGCGGTGCTAAGACACGCTCCAAGGCTGCAGCCGGTAAGGCGCAGGCCAAGAGCACTAAGCCTCACGGCAAAGGCTCTGCATAAGGAGGCTACTAAGGTGGCCTCCGAGGCGATCGGATCCTCGGGTGACGCGGCTGCGGACAAGCGCGCAAGCAGGCGCCGCAGTCCGTCGCCCTCGTCTTCAGACAATCGTCCGAACCCTCGGTTCGTAGAACGTGAGTTCAACTCGGGCAGTGAGGACGATGCCGAGTCCGAGAGCACTCATGATGCTCCTGCGGGCTCTGTGGGAGGGCACAGCCCAGTGCCCAGTGAGCACAAAGAAGACAGCGTGCAGTCGTCCGCTAGTGATCACGGTGATCACAGTCCCAGGACCTCTGTGCGCTCTGAGAGTCCGGCCGTTAAGGCTAAGGGCACTCCCAAAGCCGGTGGCGATGAGGAAGGGAGTCCTCGCAAACGTCTCTCGCTTGCCGAGGGTCTTGCGCGCGCTAAGGCCTCTAAAGCCGAAGGCGCCAAGCCCTCAAAGAAGCGTACCGCCTCTAAGTCTCCACTCCGCGAGGAGAAGGAGACTCGACGCTCCTATCAGAGTCTCTTCGGCTCCTCGGATGAAGAGGAGGAGAAGGAGGAAGAAGAGGAAGAGGAGGGTGCCATTGTTGAGCCCCGGGAGGTCTCGAATGACCTCGACCAGCAGCAGGAGGATTTCCAAGCTGCCCAGCGTGTGCGTGGGGGTTCGGTGGCGGCACCCGTCAGCCAGGGAGCTGCCATCAACTCAAGAGGGTATTGGCCTCCCGAGGAGAGCTCTGGGGCTGACCTC